ACTTTGTTGGAAGCCATATTTTTTCATTGCCAGGTTCAATCTCCCAAACCACGCTCTAGGAGATTGCTTCAAACCATACAAACTGCGTTGCAATTTACACACCATCTTAGTCTCATAATTTGTCATGTATCCCGGAGGGATATCCATATATATTTCTTCTTTTAAGTGCCCATGGAGAAAGGCGTTTTTCACATCTAACTGATGCAATGGCCAATCAAGATTTACTGCAAGAGATAAAAGAACTCTGACAGTGCTCAACTTGGCAACAGGAGAAAAGGTTTCTTGATAGTCTACGCCATATGTTTGTGTAAAGCCTTTAGCTACAAGTCTTGCTTTGTACCTTTCAATAGACCCATCAGCTTTGTACTTGATAGAGAAAACCCACTTACACCCAACTGGTTTCTTTCCTTTTGGTAAAGGGACAAGAGTCCATGTCGCATTCTTGTTTAATGCCTCCATTTCTTCATTCATAGCTTGAACCCATCTAGGATCTTCATTGGCCTCTTCAACGTTGCTAGGTACACTGTGTGAAGATAGCTCATTTGAAAATTTCTTAAGGGGTTCAGACAAGTCCTTCATAGAGACATAATTAGCAATTGGTACTACAACATTTAGCCTCTCCAACAACAGTTGAAAAGCGTTGCCAGAACTCTGAAAATCGTTGCCTAAACAAATAGGGGACGTTTTCTAGGCGTCTCCTGTGCGAGCGTTGCCTATTGTTTGAGGCGACGTTTTTTTAATGTTTTTTGGGCACGCTTTTGAAAACATCGCCTATAGAAAAGTAATTGGGGACGATTATTTGCGGCCTATGAGACAACGTTTTTCAAGCGTTGCCAAATTCGGCTACAATTAACAATCGTTGCCTTAAACCTGAATCAGGAAGGTCGTTTTTGAAGTGTAGCCATAGCTTATAGGTTGTTGTTTTATAGTGTCCACATAAAATATACAATTTTGCAATTATTATCAAAATAATATAGTCAATAATAATTGGCTTCAAAAATAATATTGATTATATAACTTAAACCATACATCCATAAAAGTTGTAATATAATAAAATCAAGTTCAAACTTTAATTCAAGATATAATATATAGAGTACACAAAATGCCTAACGTAACATTACTTTTAATACTTTGAAGTATGACCATAGTAAAATAACTAAAAACATAGTTCAACAAAAGAAAAAAAATCATATAATGCTTTCAACTACAAGCCAAAAAAAGACATCATCCAACTCACTCAAGTTTGTCTTCTAAGAGTAAATCATCCAGATCATCCTCTTGAAATTCGTTAGATATGTCATCCTCCATAAATTCTTCATCTACGTCGTCCTCTTGAAATTCACCATTTATATCGTCCTCTTGAAATTCATCATCTAGATCTATGTCGTCCTCTTGAAATTCGTCATCTACGTCGTCCTCTTGAATTTTATCATTTAGGTCGTCCTCTTGAATTTTATCATTTATGTCGTCCTCTTGAATTTCATCATTTATATCGTCCTTTTCAACATCTTCATTGATACATTGCTGCATAAGAAAATAAAATAAAATACATCAACCATAAATATTTTTGGTCCAAAGGACAATTAAGACATCAACAAGAATTAAACCTCGCACAAATAAAAACTAAACCAATGAGCAAAACACATTGTTTATATTCTTCACATCTCATGTCATGGGTGGGCTTTATATTACTTTACTTATCTTCTCATACCAGGAATATTCATAAAAAATACTCAGTGTTTTACTTTAAGTCTATATGTCTAAAGTTGAAAATTTAGATTTTTCTCTTTTGCATATAACAAATCTTAAACAGTTTCAGCCACTTCTAGGTGTTGTCACTACTTAAACAATTTCAACCACTTACTTTATTCTAGGTGTTGTCACTACTTGCAAATTTTTGCATACATTAACAACCATTTTGATACTATAACATAATTAGAAAAATATAAATCAATAATATTAGTATATATGGTTACCTTTCCATGACATGGAGCATGAGTTGATGTAGATGAATGCATTTGCGGTCTTATATCCTTTGGGGAACTATTAGCATCTCCATGAGATAATCCTAACAAATCTTCAATTGACTCTATATTAATTTGAGGATTGCATTGTTGTATTACGGTCTTAAAAGCATTTTGCAATCTATCAATCTTATCTTGAAACTCGTCCCTTAATGTAGAGACCTCTTCACTGTGGGCTTGTTTCAAAGCATTAATCTCTGCCTTTCTCTTTAAGGAAGTTTTAGTTATGTTTCTCCCATAACAGCGTACCCTGCCTGGACACTCCTGTCCAAAAACAACTTTAAAAGCTTCTGTATCACTTTCCTCCTTTTCAACCATTTCTTGAAGTTGGGACTAGCATAAATTACAACAAAAAAAAATATTAACTACTATTATAGACAATGTTGGCCGATTATATTAAGCAAACGTATTATATAAACAATGTTACATACAATTACTTTTCCAGTTTCTACATCCAGTTCCTTTCCTTTATTTCCTTTTCGAGTTTCAACAAACATTTCTGATTGAGTGGGCTCTCTTTTTTCCTTTTCATGCACAAATCAAAATAATTCCATAACAAATCATGTGAATTAAAATTCCTATTCACGAGTCAAAGAAAAGTTTTTCACGAATACTTTAATTGAACAAAGAAACATTCATACAAGGAATACTTTATTGAGAACAAAAGAAAGTTACCACTTTTTCACGAGTCAAAGCAAAGTTTTTGGGAACCATTCGATGCATCCACTTTAGTTGAGCTCTATTTCTAGTGTTATTTTCACTGATTGCCCACATTTAAATTTGACGGAATTATTATAATAAATATTACTTAATTATGGCATACATAGAAAGGTGTAAATTCACACACATACATAAAAAAAATTATTAATCTTACTTGTATAGTTTCCTTACTCCAATAAGCACAAAGACTCTTAAACTGGGCTATTGGCACGTTTGGCGGACGATTTTTGAGTCTCTCGGTCATGTTGGAATACTTCAAAAAATGATTCTTCTTAATTTTGTGCTTATATATTCTCCATGCCTCTCTAACAGTGGTCTCAATCCAATCTCGTGCTTCAACCGACAAGATAAACTTCCGCTACATAAATTATAAGATAAGACAAGATCAAGAAATAAAACTCTTTTTTTTAATAATTATACTTTCAAATTCATAGATAAAAACATACATTAGTATATCTCCAGAAACGGTTTTTATTATCATCTGGCATTCCTGACCAATTGGTGTAACGTAGAGGACAAAATGTTGAGTTCCTAGCCAATGTTCCCAAGAAGAGGCTCAAGTCAGATACTACTTTTTCACTAGGACCAATTGGCTGAAAATCCTCATTAAAGGTCACTTCTACTCGCTGTTCTAAAGTTCTTGCATGAATCTTTTTGCACAAAGTTTTCCCACGAGTTTTTCTTTGGGATGTTTCTATAATGTAATCAACACAACAACATGATATCACATATTTGCTACCAATATGTAAATAATACATGAAATCATTATTATGAAATATGAAACTAATTACCTTTTTCTTCTTCTCTATTTGTGATTGCATCTTCTTCGTTGACTTTTGCCCGATTTTGAACACTTTCTTGTCGAGTTCCTTTTTTTGGCTGATTTTGATTAGAGCTACGGTTAACGCTGCTGCCGGGTTTTTCTCCATTGTTTGACTTGGTTGCATCCATTTCCTTTGACTTGTGAAGATCTACATAATCATCAATCAACATTGATGGGCATTTTGGCACCATGTTTAGCTTTTTAGAGTATTCAGCTTTTGACATCATTATGTCCAAAGATAGAGTAGATTTCTCTGGTTTCTTATTTTTGGAAGAAATAAGTATTCTCCTTGCAACTGGTTTTTCCACCTTTTAAATTTTATCTCTATTGTTCTCTAGTAGATTCTCATGAATTCTTTTTTTCAGCATTCCTGGTTTCAATGTAATTTTCTCGTCATAATAATGTCATGAAAAGAAATATATAAATTTAAAGTATATGCAGGGATATTAACTACCTTGTGAAACTTCTTTGTTTCCATGTGCAAAAACTTCCTTAGCTTGTGGTTGCAAAAGCTTAGGTCTCTCTGCTTTCTTCATAGCAATGTGGTTGTCCAATTTTCCATCAACCTTTTGAATTATTTCTCTATTCACTGTAGCTTTCACTTGAGTTCTTTTCTTTGGTGTTTCTAATTTTAGTAAAAATTCACCAAAAGATATTAGGAATAATTTCATGTAATATATGCATAATAGAAAAATTTAAAAATCACTTACCTTGTACAACTTCTTTGTCACCATGTGCATGATCTTTCATTACTTTTGGTTGCGAGAGTTTGTCTATCTCCATTTTCTTTGCAATAGTCTCTTTGTCCAAATTGTGATCAACCTTTTGAACTCTTTCTTGTTGATTTCCTTTTTTTGGTGTTTCTAATTTTTGTAAAAATTCATTAAAAAACAGTAGGAATAATATATCTAAAGGAATTCCAAAACATAACTTTAACATACATCATTTTATATAAAATCAAATGAAACAAGAAAATGATTTACCGTCCACAACTTCTATAATTTCCTGAACCCTTTCTCTATTGTTTCCTTGTAGCATCTCATGTAACTTGTCAATTTTTTATTTCTTAACGTGTTGTAGCACTTTATTTCTCAATTCTGCACTTGATCTTACTTGAAAAGGAAAATTAAATCTTTTAGTAGGACTTCGACCACTCTTCCTATGTGATCCACCATCTTTTACACTTCTTACATTGTCCATTATGGCCAACAACTATGATCTACAAAGGGGGAAAATTACATAATTATATAATGAAAAATTGAGTATAAAGTGACATTATGCATAACCATAAATTAACAGTATATTTGAATCTAGTTTGTTATGGTTTAAGTAAAAAAATGACAACATGCTTAACCATAAATTAAACTTTGAACAAATCTATTTTCTACTCAAAATCTATTAAAAAAATTGGTAAAACACATTGTCAATGCTACCTAATCAGTACTAGAATCATAATCGGTTTCATCGTCACTTCCATAACTCGTGTCACTGTGATCACTCTCTATTGCTTTTTGGTTGTGAAGTTCTGACAAAGGAATTTCAAAGATTTCATCCGGAAAATCTTTCCTAACCAAATCCACTTCACAATCATCCCTTAACGTATTAAGATTTGTTGAAATATCATATTCTTGGGCATCTGTACTTAAAGATTCTCCCATGTCAAATGATTCCCTTGGAAGTGCATTTAGAACATAGTGTTTGTTTTTGTTTAAAGGATCTTCAATAAAGAAGCATTGTTGAACTTGAGATGCCAACACAAATGGATCATTTTTGTAGCATTTTTTGTTAAAGTAAACCAACGGCGATCCATATTTATCCTTTTCATCCACAAACCAATCACATTTGAACAATACATATTTTTCATGACCATAATAATCTAACTCTATAATATCTTTTATTGCCCCATAGTAAGTCACAAAAATCTTTTTGGGATTTTCATCCTTCGCATTTCTAAGAACTTGAGTCACCGCTTCTAAAGTCACAACACTATTTTGTGTTTTAAGCCTTGCTTCACGATTTGTTGTATGAAACCTGTATCCATTAATAACATAACCAGAATACCTTCTAACAAAATCATTTGGTCCCCTAGACAACACCTTAAACCATTCAGTAACTTTCTCATCCATGAGACGTGTTTCAAACCATTGAATAAAATCTTCTCTTTGATTGTTAGCTTTTCTGGACTTCCTTTTTTTTAGAGGATTATGATCATTAACCTCATGCTCTCTACAAAATAAATAACTAATATTTTAATACAAAAGAAAAAGAAAACTTATAGTGAGAATGAAATTTTGTATCAAGTAGATGAGTGTACCTAATATACTCTTGCACTTCATCGCAATTGAATAAAATGTAGCCGTGAGCTTGGTTTAGAGACTTATGATCAAGGGAAATTAGTTTCTTTCCCCCGATTGGATGACCTATGTTTGGAGTATCATCGCTATTTCGTGTCATTCTATTCATCCTTGTGTCTACAGCACTAGACAAATATCTTGAACAAAATGTTAGAGATTCTTTAACTAAGTATGCTTCAGCGATAGAACCCTCTGGACGACTCCTATTAAGAACAAAAGATTTTAAATCACCCAAATATCTTTCCATATAATACATCCATAGAAATTGAACCAGTCCACCCAATCTGACTTCATTTACCAGGTGAATTGGTAAGTGAACCATTATGTCAAAGAAACTCGGAGGGAAGATACGCTCGAATTGGCAAAGTGTTTCAGCAATTTCTACTTCCAAGTAATCCAATGTTTTCACATCTACAACCTTCTGGCATAAACACCGAAAAAATGAACAAAGTCGAAGCAAAGGGATAACAATTTGATTAGGGCCTATCCCTCTTATTGCTACTTGCAACAAGTAATGCAATATAATATGAGCATCATGACTCTTGTATCCAGAAACTTTTCCTTCATTAACTTGAACACATCGAGAAATATTGGATGCAAGGCCATCAGGAAGTTTTACTGTCTTTAAAACATTACAAAAAATAGTTTTCTCTTGCTTTGTTAGGGAGAAACATGCCTTAGGGATTTGAGTTTTCTTACCATCACTTGTTTCCTTCAAATGGTGTTTTTTTCTAATCCCCATGTGTTGTAGGTCCAAACGAGCTTTTGCATGATCCTTTTTCTTACCTTCAATATCTAAGAGAGTCCCCATTATATTATCACAAATGTTCTTTTCTGTATGCATCACATCTACATTATGGCGCAAAGAATTATCCTTCCAATATGGTAATTGCCAAAAGATAGACTTTTTCTTCCATGGACCAGGCCTTTTTTAATGATATTTTTGCCCCACTACGTCAGGAATCTTTTCTAAGTCTTTTAAAATCATTGTTGAATCTAACAAGGAGGGTGCAGACCTATATTCTGGCTTTCCATCAAAAGAACTTGAATTTGATCTCCAACTATGATTTGAATCCAAAAAGACTCGATGACCCATATAACACATCTTTCGACTATGTTTTAAGTATCTTGAAGAATTTTTATGATTACAAGCAGGACAAGCAAACTTCCCTTTAGTACTCCAACCGGATAACATAGCATATGCAGGGAAGTCATTCACAGTCCACATAAGAGCTGCACGCATTTGAAATGATTGATTTTTTGAAATATCATATGTTTCTACACCGACTTCCCACAATATCTTAAGCTCCTCAATTAGTGGCTGCAAATACACATCAATTTCATTTCCGGGTGACTTTGGTCCAGGAATAAGTAACGACATCAAACAATTTTTAGCCTTCATGCACAAATTTGGTAGATAGTTATATATTGTTAATACAACAAGCCATGTGCTATGTGAAAGACTCATGGTCCTAAAATGATTAAACCCATCACTTGCCAACCCAAGTCTGATGTTACGAGTTTCACGAGCAAAATCTGAATGCTTGGCATCAAAGTCTTTCCATGCTTGGGCATCAGCTGGATGCCTTAACTTCCCATCCCTTGAACGATGGTCTGCGTGCCACCTCAATGTATCGGCTGTCTTTGAACACATAAAAAGTATTTTCAAACTTGGAATCAATGGAAAATGTCTTAGAACTTTGGCGGGAACCTTATGAGCTTTTATAGATTCTTCAAGATCATTAGCAACTTCAGGATATTCAATCCACCTTGACGTGCCACAAATATGACATGAATCATCTTTCCCATGATCTTTCCAAAACAACATGCAGTTGTTCGGACATGCGTCAATCTTTTTATAGTCTAAGCCCAAATCTTTTATCATAGATTTTGTTTTATTGAAAGAGACAGGGATGTTCAAATTTGGCATAGCCTCTTTCAACAACTCTACGAGAGCAGTGAATGATGCATTACTCCATCCATGGATACATTTCAACAAATAAATTCGAATAGTGAATGATAACGAGGAAAACTTTTCACAACCAGGATACAACTCTTGATTTGCGTCATCAACTAGTTTATAAAATTTCTTTGCATCTTCATTTATCCCTTCATGTACTCCACCTCCTTCAGCCACATCTTTAAATGTCTCAAATAGTAAGCCATCGATATCATCATGAGATGATGTTTCATTATCACTATCACCATCAAGATCTATAAGGCTCTCATCTTCACCATGATAAATCCATTCAGTGTATCCCTTTACAAATCCTTTACTACATAAATGGTCATACACTACATCTCTTACTTCCCAACTATCATTGCAACATATAGAACAAGGACACAAAATCTCTTCTTCTTCAACCATTCCTTTGGTGAATGCAATATCCAAAAAGTAATTTACACCGTCCTTATAACTTTGACTGTGTGGAGGTAACTCCACCCAATCCTTCTTTATCATGTTTGGTTTTCTAAAATGAAATAAATTATACGTTAATCTTTATCATATAAAGGATGGAAAAACACCATGGTTCATATATCAACGTAGCTTTTACAAATGCATAGTTATTATAAAAATTTCATTTATAATCTAAATATACACTAAGCATGCATTCCAATACCAAACATATAATAAATTGGTGAACTTTTAATCTAAACATGCATTACAAACATAAAATAAATGAGCTAAACTATTTTACATATGTTACTTCATGGAAGAGATAGTTTAAGGTTGTATTTGTCTATATCCATTGGATGATGTGTTTTACATATGTTTCTTTGGATTCATGTGTTTTGCCCTTACCAATAAGTCTAACTAGCTGTGACTTTGAATTAATAATATATACAAGTATTTGATCTTATCAAGTGAAATTAGAGATATTACTTGCTTTCAAACTACAACTTGATAAGGTATGATTCCATATGATAAAATGATGAGAAGTTTTAGCATAAACATGAGTAGGATAAGGTATGATTCCTTATGATAAAATGATGAGAAGTTTTAGCATAAACATGAGTAGGAAAACACAGGGCTATTGCATGAGGGGTGTGTGTTAAGATTTAAAAACATGAACAATTAATTTATATTCTAATTATGAACAAACATTTCATAGTCTAATATAATATGTATTTGTTGTTTCTTTTCAAACTAATCTAAAGTGCAGAAAGCATTGGAATGACTGGGTTCTGTTACCTGAATTCTTTCAACTTGATTCCAGCAGTAATAGAAACTAAAATCTTGTCCTTAGTTAAAAGCGACTTCGATTTCAACACAACTTCCTTCACTGCAACAACAACAACAAAGCTAGTAAATGAAACTGAGACGTTTCTTTCCCAAATAATGTTGAAACCAATGACATATCTATTGAGGTTTAACCGAAACAACGACGGTGAATGATCTAAAGACAAATAATTAGAAAATGAGAAAATTAAACACAAATTTAATAAATAGTAAAAGAGATGAAATGGAATACGTCACCTTTAGAAGAAAGGACGGTGATGTCGATGGATTCAAAAGTGGCATAACGAACTTGGTTAGACTGAGCAGATGCGAGTTACAATGCGGGAATGGGGAAAGACGCAGGAGAACCTGCACATCACACAACATTGATATAATCACATGGTTAGCATATGTATTAGTTTTAATAACTAACATAATAACATAGCAATCAAGTAAGCATATAGAATTACACAGAGACAATAATAATTAAGAAGCACTAACTTTCAAATGTTAGCTAAACACATATCTTATTGGAGAGATGTATCCAACACAATTTGTGTAGGCAAGTCTTAGGTATTGAGAAATCAAAAATAGAGATAAAATTATGACATTTCTTAAAACAATGAAAGCTAGGTCTATTCCTAAAAACAAAAATAAAAAACATCTCCATGCAACCAGCTCTCACAAACATTGCTATTAAGACTTAAATTTTTTAAGGCCAATATTAACTTTATGGTATCATAGTTCAGTAATATCATGCTGCAAGAGGAAATGCAGTAAGAGATAAGTGGTTCATACTTCTTGGGAGATCACTATTAATGTTGTCGCTTAAAGTATTTTGCAATTTTATTCAGTACGTGTGTTGCGACACCGTTGTCGTGGTGTAAATTAGTAACATTATTGTATGACCATTTACGCAGTAGCAGGCACCTTTTTTAAAAACTTAGAAAAATGCAATCCATTTTAACCATCTATAGTTTTATATGACATCTAAATATCAAATGAAAAACTAACAGTAATAACTAATAATTACAAAATTATATAATGTTTAAAACTTAGAAAAGAGGGGAATTAAGTGAACAAAAAAATCGATTATGTGGACTATACAAAGTAATAAATATTTAAGCAAATAGGCTAACAAAACAGAATCGAACACACAACTTTCAACGAAACAAATATAGAGCAACAATGATCTTATAATTCTTATTTTAACGAACCCAACAGACTACACAATTCAACAATTTTCACTTATTTTTAACAGAAAAAACAAAAAACAAACAAAAACTTAGTTAACAAAATAGAACCAAACGCTATAGTGTACGCATATAACTTTAAATGCAACAAATGCAGAGCAACAATACAAACTACACGATTCAACATTTTGCACTCATTTTTAACATAAAAAGAGAAAAACAAATAACAATAAATTGGAAAACAAAATGAAACCAAACGCTATAGTGTATGCAAATAACTTTCAATGGAACAAATGCAGCATAACAATACTAACTACACGATTAACCATTTTGTACTTATTTTCAACATAAAAAACTAAAATAAACAAAAACAAATTGGTTAACAAAACAAAACATAATGCTATAGTTTGCGAACACAACTTTCAGTGGAACAAATGTAGACAAACAATACAAACTACAGGATTCAACAATTTTCACTTATCTTTAACAGAAAAAACAAAAACAAATAAAATATATTAGTTAAAACCACATATACAAACGCTATAGTGTACACACATAACTTTCAACGAAACAAATGCAGAGCAACAATACAAACTATATGATTCAACATTTTGCACTTCTTTTTAACATAAATTACCAAAACAAATAAAAGTAAATTGGTTATCAAAACAAAACCAAACACTATATTATGTGCATAATACTTTCATTTGAACAAATGAAGAGATACAATACAAACTACACGACTCATCATTTTGCACTTATTTTTAACATAAAAACAAAAAACAAAATAAAAAAAATAGATACGAAAACAGAACCAAACACTATAATGATTGCACAAAACATTCAATGGAACAACTGCAGAGCAACAATAAATACTACATGATTCAACATTTTGCACTTATTTTTAACAGAAAAAACAAATAAAAATAAATTGGTTAACAAAACAAAACCAAAAGCTATAGTGTACGCACACAAATTTTAACGGAACAAATGCAGAGCAACAATACAAACTACAAGTTTCAACATTTTGCACTAACTTTTGACAGAGAAAACAAAAAACTAATAAAAATATATTGATTAACCACTCAGAACCAAATGTGACAGTGTACAAACTCAACTTTCAATGGAAAAAATGTGTAGCAATAATAAAAACTACACGATTCATCATTTTGATCTTATTTTTAAACAAAAAAAAACAGAAAAACAAATAAAAATTAATTGGTTAAGAAAACTTAACTGAATTCTATAGTGCATGCATACAACTTTTAACTGAACAAACATAGAGCAACAATACAAACTACAAGATTGAACATTTTGCACTTACTTTTAACAGAAAATACAAAAAACAAATAAAAATATATTTGTTAACCACTCAGAACCAAACGCTAGAATATGAAATTACAATGGCCTATATTAAATTATTATTGATAATCACTATGTAATTAATTCTTTACTACTAGAAAAAAATAGTTAGCACTCTCTATCAGCATTTGTTTGATTTAAAGTAGTTAGAACCACACTCTGTTGTCAACTTCTTATATCAACAACAAATATGAAAATGCCCACACAAACTCAAACAACCATCAAAACACTCAGATTCAACTCAAACACAACGATACGAAATGGCGATCGAATTATAAATGCAGAAATACATACAAACACACCAACATACACCCACGTCAGAAAAACATAATCAATAGCAAATTAACATCCATTCATTGAACCTTCTCACCAACATAAACCAACAACTATAAACTGTATTGAAATAAAATGAAGAGAAGTTACCAATAATGCAATTTTGAGCATGTCGTGTTGTTATGTTGCTGCTGAAGGTGTTGAGCGTTGTTGCGGATCAGAAATGGTGATGTATATAAGTTTACGGCGGTGGGATGTGGTACGGTACATCTAAGGTGGGGTTTTTGGAATCGAGCGGACGTCCACTACAACATTTGTTGTCTCTGGCAACACTTTTTTAGGTAACATGTAGAAATTGTTGCCTTAAATTCATGTAGGCAACGATTTACGATTGTTGTCAAAAATATGTTTGCAACCCTTGATAATCGTTGCCTAAAATACTTTTGGGGACGTTTATGGAGCGATACTCTTTTATTTTTTTGCCAACGATTGTTAATTGTGCCCTTAACTGCTTTTGGGGACGATTTTAGAGCGTTAAAATATTATTTCTTTAGCAATGTTTGACAATTGTCCCCTAAAATATTTTTGAGGACATTTTTAGATTGTTACATTAGTTCTAATAAAAGGCTACATTTATGAAATGTTGTATAAATTTTTTTAGCATTATCAAATTTTTGGTGGCAATCTTCCCTCCAAAACTTATACACTAAAAAACAAATATTTTTCTCTAAACATTATTATATATATATATATATATATATATATATATATATATATATATATATATATATATATATATATATATATATATATATATATATATATATATATATATATATATATATATATATATATATATATATATATTAAAAAAAATTTAACACATAATTATAAAATAATATTTAATTATAAGCATGTATTTATCCACATGGACTTAATAAAAAACACAAAATTATAAAATCTTATTACATGTTGTATCCACACTTAACAAATAAAATTAATTTAAATAAGCATACTTTTGTAAACTTTATTACATGCTTTTTTTTCATATTATTTTATTTAATTAATGTTTTACATATATAGGCTGTGACATTCATTGAATGCAACAACTTGAAATTTAATAACCTAAAGTTCAAAAATGCACAACAAATGCATATAAGGGTTCAGAATTGCAACAATGTTTGGGCTTCAAATCTTATCATTAGAGCACCAGGAGATAGCCCCAACACTGATGGATTTCATGTCACTCACTCACAAAATGTTTTCATAACCAACAACATCATTGGGACAGGTAAAAAAAAATATTTTTACCTATGTTCAATCTAATAATATTAATTTTTTATATTTTTTATAAAATATACTTAGATAATAAAGTTATGTTTCTGATTTAGACTATCTGATTTACGTATTAAATTAAATACATTAAATTTTGTTGATTCAAATATCTCTTATAAAAAGGAGATAATATTAATTATAATATTAGTATTTAAAATATATTATATTATAAAATTAATTTTTTTAAAATATAAAATTATCTAATTTTCTTTCTCACTATTTTATTGAAGGTGATGATTGTATTTCAATAGTAAGTGGGTCCAAAAACATTAGAGCTACAGATATAATATGTGGACCAGGACATGGAATAAGGTTCATAATTCTCTTAATTAATTTTTTTCTAATTTAATTTTATATTTAATGGTTAAAAATGTTGATGTATTATTATTACTTTTTTGTTTTTTGTTTTTTATTTTGTAGCATTGGAAGCTTAGGACAAGATAAGTCTGAAGCTCAAGTGAATAGAGCTACACTAAAAGGAAGCACTAATGGGGTTAGAATTAAGACTTGGCAGGTAAATTAATTAACCACTTTTCAACTTTGAAACAGTTTAATACAATAAATTAAGGGTGTCATTTTTAAAATATAAAAGTATAAAATGTGGAATTAAAGTTACCCACTTAGTTTAATTTTTATTGGTCCAATTTAGGTGTATTAGCATTTTATATTGGGAAGATGACCAATTGATAAATGAAGCAATATTGCACTAACTAGAAATAAGAAAAACAACAGAAAAAGAAAACAAAAGCGTTCCATCTTCTTCTTCACACATTCCGCCGCCGAATACCGCTCTCATACGCTCCAAGTCCAAGTCATTCATCCGCTCCGACTCAAACCACTTTCGTCCACACCCTCCGTTGTGTTGTTCGTCACTCCGTCCAACTGCCTTCGTTCGTCGTCCACTCAATTCCAAAAAACCCACCCTAGATGTACCGTACCATATCCCACCGCCGTAAACTTATATACATCGCCATTTCTGATCCGCAACAACACTCAACACCTTCAGCAGCAACATAACAACACGACGTGCTCAAAATTGCATTATTGGTAACTTCTCTTCATTTTATTTCAATACAGTTTATAGTTGTTGGTTTATGTTGGTGAGAAGGTTTAATGAATGGATGTTAATTTGCTATTGATTATGTTTTTCTGACGTGGGTGTATGTTGGTGTGTTTGTATGTATTTCTGCATTTATAATTCGATCGCCATTTCGTATCGTTGTGTTTGAGTTGAATCTGAGTGTTTTGATGGTTGTTTGAGTTTGTGTGGGCATTTTCATATTTTTTGTTGATATAAGAAGTTGACAACAGAGTGGGGTTCTAACTACTTTAAATCAAACAAATGTTGATAGAGAGTGCTAACTATTTTTTTCTAGTAGTAAAGAATTAATTACATAGTGATTATCAATAATAATTTAATATAGGCCATTGTAATTTCATATTCTAGCGTTTGGTTCTGAGTGGTTAACAAATATATTTTATTTGTTTTTTGTATTTTCTGTTAAAAGTAAGTGCAAAATGTTCAATCTTGTAGTTTGTATTATTGTTCTATGTTTGTTCAGTTAAAAGTTGTGTGCATGCACTATAGAATTCGGTTAAGTTTTCTTAACCAATTAATTTTTATTTGTTTTTCTGTTTTTTTTTGTTTAAAAATAAGATCAAAATGATGAATCGTGTAGTTTTTATTATTGCTACACATTTTTTCCATTGAAAGTTGAGTTTGTACACTGTCACATTTGGTTCTGAGTGGTTAATCAATATATTTTTATTAGTTTTTTGTTTTCTCTGTCAAAAGTTAGTGCAAAATGTTGAAACTTGTAGTTTGTATTGTTGCTCTGCATTTTGTTCCGTTAAAATTTGTGTGCGTACACTATAGCTTTTGGTTTTGTTTTGTTAACCAATTTATTTTTATTTGTTTTTTCTGTTAAAAATAAGTGCAAAATGTTGAATCATGTAGTATTTATTGTTGCTCTGCAGTTGTTCCATTGAATGTTTTGTGCAATCATTATAGTGTTTGGTTCTGTTTTCTTATCTATTTTTTTATTTTGTTTTTTGTTTTTATGTTAAAATATGTGCAAAATGATGAGTTGTGTAGTTTGTATTGTATCTCTTCATTTGTTCAAATGAAAGTATTATGCACACAATATAGTGTTTGGTTTTGTTTTGATAACCAATTTACTTTTATTTGTTTTGGTAATTTATGTTAAAAAGAAGTGCAAAATGTTGAATCATATAGTTTGTATTGTTGCTCTGCATTTGTTTCGTTGAAAGTTATGTGTGTACACTATAGCGTTTGTATCTGTGGTTTTAACTAATATATTTTATTTGTTTTTGTTTTTTCTGTTAAAGATAAGTGAAAATTGTTGAATCCTGTAGTTTGTATTGTTTGTCTACATTTGTTCCACTGAAAGTTGTGTACACAAACTATAGCATTATGTTCTGTTTTGTTAACCAATTTGTTTTTGTTTATTTTAGTTTTTTATGTTAAAAATAAGTACAAAATGGTTAATCGTGTAGTTAGTATTGTTATGTTGCATTTGTTCCATTGAAAGTTATTTGCATACACTATAGCGTTTGGTTTCATTTTGTTTTCCAATTTATTGTTATTTGTTTTTCTCTTTTTATGTTAAAAATGAGTGCAAAATGTTGAATCGTGTAGTTTGTATTGTTGCTCTGCATTTGTTGCATTTAAAGTTATATGCGTACACTATAGCGTTTGGTTCTATTTTGTTAACTAAGTTTTTGTTTGTTTTTTGTTTTTTCTGTTAAATATAAGTGAAAATTGTTGAATTGTGTAGTCTGTTAGGTTCGTTAAAATAAGAATTATAAGATCATTGTTGCTCTATATTTGTTTCGTTGAAAGTTGTGTGTTCGATTCTGTTTTGTTAGCCTATTTGCTTAAATATTTATTACTTTGTATAGTCCACATAATCGATTTTTTTGTTCACTTAATTCCCCTCTTTTCTAAGTTTTAAACATTATATAATTTTGTAATTATTATTTATTACTGTTAGTTTTTCATTTGATATTTAGATGTCATATAAAACTATAGATGGTTAAAATGGATTGCATTTTTCTAAGTTTTTAAAAAAGGTGCCTGCTACTGCGTAAATGGTCATACAATAATGTTACTAATTTACACCACGACAACAGTGTCGCAACACACGTACTGAATAAAATTGCAAAATACTTTAAGCGAAAACATTAATAGTGATCTCCCAAGAAGTCTGAACCACTTATCTCTTACTGTATTTCCTCTTGCAGCATGATATTACTGAACTATGATACCATAAAGTTAATATTGGCCTTAAAAAATTTAAGTCTTAATAGCAATGTTTGTGAGAGCTGGTTGCATGGAGATGTTTTTTATTTTTGTTTTTAGGCATAGACCTAGCTTTCATTGTTTTAAGAAATGTCATAATTTTATCTCTATTTTTGATTTCTCAATGCCTAAGACTTGCCTACACAAATTGTGTTGGATACATCTCTCCAATAAGATATGTGTTTAGCTAACATTTGAAAGTTAGTGCTTCTTAATTATTATTGTCTCTGTGTAATTCTATATGCTTACTTGATTGCTATGTTATTATGTTAGTTATTAAAACTAATACATATGCTAACCATGTGATTATATCAATGTTGTGTGATGTGCAGGTTCTCCTGCGTCTATCCCCATTCCCGCATTGTAACTCGCATCTGCTCAGTCTAACCAAGTTCGTTATGCCACTTTTGAATCCATCGACATCACCGTCCTTTCTTCTAAAGGTGACGTATTCCATTTCATCTCTTTTACTATTTATTAAATTTGTGTTTAATTTTCTCATTTTCTAATTATTTGTCTTTAGATCATTCACCGTCGTTGTTTCGGTTAAACCTCAATAGATATGTCATTGGTTTCAACATTATTTGGGAAAGAAACGTCTCAGTTTCATTTACTAGCTTTGTTGTTGTTGTTGCAGTGAAGGAAGTTATGTTGAAATCGAAGTCGCTTTTAACTAAGGACAAGATTTTAGTTTCTATTACTGCTGGAATCAAGTTGAAAGAATTCAGGTAACAGAACCCAGTCATTCCAATGCTTTCTGCACTTTAGATTAGTTTGAAAAGAAACAACAAATACATATTATATTAGACTATGAAATGTTTGTTCATAATTAGAATATAAATTAATTGTTCTTGTTTTTAAATCTTAACACACACCCCTCATGCAATAGCCCTGTGTTTTCCTACTCATGTTTATGCTAAAACTTCTCATCATTTTATCATAAGGAATCATACCTTATCCTACTCATGTTTATGCTAAAACTTCTTATCATTTTATCATATGGAATCATACCTTATCAAGTTGTAGTTTGAAAGCAAGTAATATCTCTAATTTCACTTGATAAGATCAAATACTTGTATATATTATTAATTCAAAGTCACAGCTAGTTAGACTTATTGGTAAGGGCAAAACACATGAATCCAAAGAAACATATGTAAAACACATCATCCAATGGATATAGACAAAGACAACCTTAAACTATCTCTTCCATGAAGTAACATATGTAAAATAGTTTAGCTCATTTATTTTATGTTTGTAATGCATGTTTAGATTAAAAGTTCACCAATTTATTATATGTTTGGTATTGGAATGCATGTTTAGTGTATATTTAGATTATAAATGAAATTTTTATAATAACTATACATTTGTAAAAGCTACGTTGATATATGAACCATGGTGTTTTTCCATCCTTTATATGATAAAGATTAACGTATAATTTATTTCATTTTAGAAAACCAAATATGATAAAGAAGGATTGGGTGGAGTTACCTCCACACAGTCACAGTTATAAGGACGGTGTAAATTACTTTTTGGATATTGCATTCACCAAAGGAATGGTTGAAGAAGAAGAGATTTTGTGTCCTTGTTCTAGATGTTGCAATGATAGTTGGGAAGTAAGAGATGTAGTGTATGACCATTTATGTAGTAAAGGATTTGTAAAGGGATACACTGAATGGATTTATCATGGTGAAGATGAGAGCCTTATAGATCTTGATGGTGATAGTGATGATGAAACATCATATCATGATGATATCGATGGCTTACTATTTGAGACATTTAAAGATGTGGCTGAAGGAGGTGGAGTACATGAAGGGATAAATGAAGATGCAAAGAAATTTTATAAACTAGTTGATGATGCAAATCAAGAGTTGTATCCTGGTTGTGAAAAGTTTTCCTCGTTATCATTCACTATTCGAATTTATTTGTTGAAATGTATCCATGGATGGAGTAATGCATCATTCACTGCTCTCGTAGAGTTGTTGAAAGAGGCTATGCCAGATTTGAACATCCCTGTCTCTTTCAATAAAACAAAATCTATGATAAAAGATTTGGGCTTAGACTATAAAAAGATTGACGCATGTTCGAACAACTGCATGTTGTTTTGGAAAGATCATGGGAAAGATGATTCATGTCATATTTGTGGCACGTCAAGGTGGATTGAATATCCTGAAGTTGCTAATGATCTTGAAGAATCTATAAAAGCTCATAAGGTTCCCGCCAAAGTTTTAAGACATTTTCCATTGATTCCAAGATTGAAAAGACTTTTTATGTGTTCAAAGACAACCGATACATTGAGGTGGCACGCAGACCATCGTTCAAGGGATGGGAAGTTAAGGCATCCAGCTGATGCCCAAGCATGGAGAGGCTTTGATGCCAAGCATTCAGATTTTGCTCGTGAAACTCGTAACATCAGACTTGGGTTGGCAAGTGATGGGTTTAATCATTTTAGGACCATGAGTCTTTCACATAGCACATGGCTTGTTGTATTAACAATATATAACTATCCGCCAAATTTGTGCATGAAGGCTGAAAATTGTTTGATGTCGTTACTTATTCCTGGACCAAAGTCACCCGGAAATGAAATTGATGTGTATTTGCAGCCACTAATTGAGGAGCTTAAGATATTGTGGGAAGTCGGTGTAGAAACATATGATATTTCAAAAAATCAATCATTTCAAATGTGTGCAGCTCTTATGTGGACTGTGAATGACTTCCCTGCATATGCTATGTTATCCGGTTGGAGTACTAAAGGGAAGTTTGCTTGTCCTGCTTGTAATCATAAAACTTCTTCAAGATACTTAAAACATAGTCGAAAGATGTGTTATATGGGTCATCGAGTCTTTTTGGATTCAAATCATAGTTGGAGATCAAATTCAAGTTCTTTTGATGGAAAGCCAAAATATAGGTCTGCACCCTCCTTGTTAGATTCAACAATGATTTTAAAAGACTTAGAAAAGATTCCTGATGTAGTGGGGAAAAAATATCATAAAAAAAGGCCTGGTCCATGGAAGAAAAAGTCTATCTTTTGGCAATTACCATATTGGAAGGATAATTCTTTGCGCCATAATGTAGATGTTATGCATACAGAAAAGAACATTTGTGATAATATAATGGGGACTCTCTTAGATATTGAAGGGAAGAAAAAGGATCATGCAAAAGCTCGTTTGGACCTACAACACATGGGGATTAGAAAAAAACTCCATTTGAAGGAAACAAGTGATGGTAAGAAAACTCAAATCCCTAAGGCATGTTTCTCCCTAACAAAGCAAGAGAAAACTATTTTTTGTAATGTTTTAAAGACAGTAAAACTTCCTGATGGCCTTGCATCCAATATTTCTCGATGTGTTCAAGTTAATGAAGGAAAAGTTTCTGGATACAAGAGTCATGATGCTCATATTATATTGCATTACTTGTTGCAAGTAGCAATAAGAGGGGTAGGCCCTAATCAAATTGTTATCCCTTTGCTTCGACTTTGTTCATTTTTTCGGTGTTTATGCCAGAAGGTTATAGATGTGAAAACATTGGATTACTTGGAAGTAGAAATTGCTGAAACACTTTGCCAATTCGAGCGTATCTTCCCTCCGAGTTTCTTTGACATAATGGTTCACTTACCAATTCACCTGGCAAATGAAGTCAGATTGGGTGGACCGGTTCAATTTTGATGGATGTATTATATGGAAAGATATTTGGGTGATTTAAAATCTTTTGTTCGTAATAGGAGTCGTCCAGAGGGTTCTATCGCTGAAGCATACTTAGTTAAAGAATCTCTAACATTTTGTTCAAGATATTTGTCTAGTGCTGTAGACACAAGGATGAATAGAATGACACGAAATAGCGATGATACTCCAAACATAGGTCATCCAATCGGGGGAAAGAAACTAATTTCACTTGATCATAAGTCTCTAAACCAAGCTCACGACTACATTTTATTCAATTGCGATGAAGTGCAAGAGTATATTAGGTACACTCATCTACTTGATACAAAATTTCATTCTCACTATAAGTTTTCTTTTTCTTTTGTATTAAAATATTAGTTATTTATTTTGTAGAGAGCATGAGGTTAATGATCATAATCCTCTAAAAAAAAGGAAGTCCAGAAAAGCTAACAATCAAAGAGAAGATTTTATTCAATGGTTTGAAACACGTCTCATGGATGAGAAAGTTACTGAATGGTTGAAGGTGTTGTCTAGGGGACCAAATGATGTTGTTAGAAGGTATTATGGTTATGTTATTAATGGATACAGGTTTCATACAACAAATCGTGAAGCAAGGCTTAAAACACAAAATAGTGGTGTGACATTAGAAGCGGTGACTCAAGTTCTTAGAAATGCGAAGGATGAAAATCCCAAAAAGATTTGTGTGACTTACTATGGGGCAATAAAAGATATTATAGAGTTAGATTATTATGGTCATGAAAAATATGTATTGTTCAAATGTGATTGGTTTGTGGATGAAAAGGATAAATATGGATCGCCGTTGGTTTACTTTAACAAAAAATGCTACAAAAATGATCCATTTGTGTTGGCATCTCAAGTTCAACAATGCTTCTTTATTGAAGATCCTTTAAACAAAAACAAACACTATGTTCTAAATGCACTTCCAATGGAATCATTTGACATGGGAGAATCTTTAAGTACAGATGCCCAAGAATATGATATTTCAAAAAATCTTAATACGTTAAGGGATGATTGTGAAGTGGATTTGGTTAGGAAAGATTTGTCGGATGATATCTTTGAAATTCCTTTGTCAGAACTTCACAACCAAAAAGCAATAGAGAGTGATCACAGTGACACGAGTTATGGAAGTGACAATGAAACCGATTATGATTCTAGTACTGACTAGGTAGCATTGACAATGTGTTTTACCAATTTTTTTAATAGATTTTGAGTAGAAAATAGATTTGTTCAAAGTTTAATTTATGGTTAAGCATGCTGTCATTTTTTTACTTAAACCATAACAAACTAGATTCAAATATACTGTTAATTTATGGTTATGCATAATGTCACTTTATACTCAATTTTTCATTATATAATTATGTAATTTTCCCCCTTTGTAGATCATAGTTGTTGGCCATAATGGACAATGTAAGAAGTGTAAAAGATGGTGGATCACATAGGAAGAGTGGTCGAAGTCCTACTAAAAGATTTGATTTTCCTTTTCAAGTAATATCAAGTGCAGAATTGAGAAATAAAGTTCTACAACATGTTAAGAAAGAAAAAATTGACAAGTTACATGAGATGCTACAAGGAAACAATAGAGAAAGGTTTCAGGAAATTATAGAAGTTGTGGACGGTAAATCATTTTCTTGTTTCATTTGATTTTATATAATGTATGTTAAAGTTATGTTTTGGAATTCCTTTAGATATATTATTCCTACTGTCTTTTAATGAATTTTTACAAAAATTAGAAACACCAAAAAAAGGAAATCAACAAGAAAGAGTTCAAAAGGTTGATCACAATTTGGACAAAGAGACTATTGCAAAGAAAATGGAGATAGACAAACTCTCGCAACCAAAAGTAATGAAAGATCATGCACATGGTGACAAAGAAGTTGTACAAGGTAAGTGATTTTTAAATTTTTCTATTATGCATATATTACATGAAATTATTCCTAATATCTTTTGGTGAATTTTTACTAAAATTAGAAACACCAAAGAAAAGAACTCAAGTGAAAGCTACAGTGAATAGAGAGAGAATTCAAAAGGTTGATGGAAAATTGGACAACCATATTGCTATGAAGAAAGCAGAGAGACCTAAGCTTTTGCAACCACAAGCTAAGGAAGTTTTTGCACATGGAAACAAAGAAGTTTCACAAGGTAGTTAATATCCCTGCATATACTTTAAATTTATATATTTCTTTTCATGACATTATTATGACGAGAAAATTACATTGAAACCAGGAATGCTGAAAAAAAGAATTCATGAGAATCTACTAGAGAACAATAGAGATAAAATTCAAAAGGTGGAAAAACCAATTGCAAGGAGAATACTTATTTCTTCCAAAAATAAGAAACCAGAGAAATCTACTCTATCTTTGGACATAATGATGTCAAAAGCTGAATGCTCTAAAAAGCTAAACAGGGTGCCAAAATGCCCATCAATGTTGATTGATGATTATGTAGATCTTCACAAGTCAAAGGAAATGGATGCAACCAAGTCAAACAATGGAGAAAAACCCGGCAGCAGCGTTAACCGTAGCTCTAATCAAAATCAGCCAAAAAAAGGAACTCGACAAGAAAGTGTTCAAAATCGGGCAAAAGTCAACGAAGAAGATGCAATCACAAATAGAGAAGAAGAAAAAGGTAATTAGTTTCATATTTCATAATAATGATTTCATGTATTATTTACATATTGGTAGCAAACATGTGATATCATGTTGTTGTGTTGATTACTTTATAGAAACATCCCAAAGAAAAACTCGTGGGAAAACTTTGTGCAAAAAGATTCATGCAAGAACTTTGGAAGAGCGAGTAGAAGTGACCTATAATGAGGATTTTCAGCCAATTGGTCCTAGTGAAAAAGTAGTATCTGACATGAGCCTCTTCTTGGGAACATTGGCTAGGAACTTAACATTTTGTCCTCTACGTTACACCAATTGGTCAGGAATGCCAGATGATAATAAAAATCGTTTCTGGAGATATACTAATGTATGTTTTTATCTATGAATTTGAAAGTATAATTATTAAAAAAAAGAGTTTTATTTCTTGATCTTGTCTTATCTTATAATTTATGTAGCGGAAGTTTATCTTGTCGGTTGAAGCACGGGATTGGATTGAGACCACTGTTAGAGAGGCATGGAGATTATATAAGCACAAAATTAAGAAGAATCATTTTTTGAAGTATTCCAACATGACCGAGAGACTCAAAAATCGTCCGCCAAACGTGCCAATAGCCCAGTTTAAGAGTCTTTGTGCTTATTGGAGTAAGGAAACTATACAAGTAAGATTAATAATTTTTTTTATGTATGTGTTTGAATTTACACCTTTCTATGTATGCCATAATTAAGTAATATTTATTATAATAATTCCTTCAAATTTAAATGTAGGCAATCAGTGAAAATAACACTAGAAATAGAGCTCAACTAAAGTGGATGCATCGAATGGGTCCCAAAAACTTTGCTTTGACTCGTGAAAAAGTGGTAACTTTCTTTTGTTCTCAATAAAGTATTCCTTGTATGAATGTTTCTTTGTTCAATTAAAGTATTCGTGAAAAACTTTTCTTTGACTCGTGAATAGGAATTTTAATTCACATGATTTGTTATGAAATTATTTTGATTTGTGCAGCGTGAAAAGGAAAAAAGAGAGCCCACTCAATCAGAAATGTTTGTTGAAACTCGAAAAGGAAATAAAGGAAAAGAACTGGATGTAGAAACTGGAAAAGTAATTGTATGTAACATTGTTTATATAATACGTTTGCTTAATATAATCGGCCAACATTGTCTATAATAGTAGTTAATTTTTTTTTTGTTGTAATTTATGCTAGTCCCAACTTCAAGAAATGGTTGAAAAGGAGGAAAGTGATACATAAGCTTTTAAAGTTGTTTTTGGAAAGGAGTGTCCAGGCAGGGTACGCTGTTATGGGAGAAACATAACTAAAACTTCCTTAAAGAGAAAGGCAGAGATTAATGCTTTGAAACAAGCCCACAGTGAAGAGGTCTCTACATTAAGGGACGAGTTTCAAGATAAGATTGATAGATTGCAAAATGCTTTTAAGACCGTAATACAACAATGCAATCCTCAAATTAATATAGAGTCAATTGAAGATTTGTTAGGATTATCTCATGGAGATGATAATAGTTCCCCAAAGGATATAAGACCGCAAATGCATTCATCTACATCAACTCATGCTCCATGTCATGGAAAGGTAATCATATATGCTAATATTATTGATTTATATTTTTCTAATTATGTTATAGTATCAAAATGGTTGTTAATGTATGCAAAAATTTGCAAGTAGTGACAACACCTAGAATAAAGTAAGTGGTTGAAATTGTTTAAGTAGTGACAACACCTAGAAGTGGCTGAAACTGTTTAAGATTTGTTATATGCAAAAGAGAAAAATCTAAATTTTCAACTTTAGACATATAGACTTAAAGTAAAACATTGAGTATTTTTTATGAATATTCCTGGTATGAGAAGATAAGTAAAGTAATATAAAGCCCACCCATGACATGAGATGTGAAGAATATAAACAATGTGTTTTGCTCATTGGTTTAGTTTTTATTTGTGCGAGGTTTAATTCTTGTTGATGTCTTAATTGTCCTTTGGACCAAAAATATTTATGGTTGATGTATTTTATTTTATTTTCTTATGCAGCAATGTATCAATGAAGATGTTGAAAAGGACGATATAAATGATGAAATTCAAGAGGACGACATAAATGATAAAATTCAAGAGGAAGACCTAAATGATAAAATTCAAGAGGACGACGTAGATGACGAATTTCAAGAGGACCACATAGATCTAGATGATGAATTTCAAGAGGACGATATAGATGGTGAATTTCAAGAGGACGACGTAGATGAAGAATTTATGGAGGATGACATATCTAACGAATTTCAAGAGGATGATCTGGATGATTTACTCTTAGAAGACAAACTTGAGTGAGTTGGATGATGTCTTTTTTTGGCTTGTAGTTGAAAGCATTATATGATTTTTGTTCTTTTGTTGAACTATGTTTTTAGTTATTTTACTATGGTCATACTTCAAAGTATTAAAAGTAATGTTACGTTAGGCATTTTGTGTACTCTATATATTATATCTTGAATTAAAGTTTGAACTTGATTTTATTATATTACAACTTTTATGGATGTATGGTTTAAGTTATATAATCAATATTATTTTTGAAGCCTATAAGCTATTTTATTATATTGCAAAATTGTATATTTTATGTGGACACTATAAAACAACAACCTATAAGCTATGGCTACACTTCAAAAACGACCTTCCTGATTCAGGTTTAAGGCAACGATTGTTAATTGTAGCCGAAATTGGCAACGCTTAAAAAACGTTGTCTCAGAGGCTGCAAATAATCGTCCCCTATTCCTTTTCTATAGGCGATGTTTTCAAAAGCGTGCCCAAAAAACATTAAAAAAACGTCGCCTCAAACAATAGGCAACGCTCGCACAGGAGACGCCTAGAAAACGTCCCCTATTTGTTTAGGCAATGATTTTTAGATTTCTGGCAACGCTTTTCAATTGTTGTTGGAGAGGCTAAATGTTGTAGTGGACGAACGAAGGCAGTTGGACGGAGTGACGAACAACACAGCGGAGGGTGTGGACGAAAGTGGTTTGAGTCGGAGCGGATGAAGGACTTGGACTTGGAGCGTCTGAGAGCGGTATTCGGCGGCGGAATGTGTGAAGAAGAAGATGGAACGGTTTTGTTTTCCTTTTATGTTGTTTTTCTTATTTCTAGTTAGTGCAATATTGCTTCATTTATCAATTGGTCATCTTCCCAATATAAAATGCTAATACACCTAAGTTGGGCCAATAAAAATTAAATTAAGTGGGTAACTTTAATTCCACATTTTATACTTTTATATTTTAAAAATGACCCTTAATTTATTGTATTAAACCGTTTCAAAGTTGAAAAGTGGTTAATTAATTTACCTGCCAAGTCTTAATTCTAACCCCATTAGTGCTTCCTTTTAGTGTAGCTCTATTCACTTGAGCTTCAGACTTATCTTGTCCTAAGCTTCCAATGCTACAAAATAAAAAACAAAAAACAAAAAAGTAATAATAATACATCAACATTTTTAACCATTCAATATAAAATTAAATTAGAAAAAAATTAATTAAGAGAATTATGAACCTTATTCCATGTCCTGGTCCACATATTATATCTGTAGCTCTAATGTTTTTGGACCCACTTACTATTGAAATACAATCATCATCACCTTCAATAAAATAGTGAGAAAGAAAATTAGATAATTTTATATTTTAAAAAAATTAATTTTATAATATAATATATTTTAAATACTAATATTATAATTAATATTATCTCCTTTTTATAAGAGATATTTGAATCAACAAAATTTAATGTATTTAATTTAATACGTAAATCAGATAGTCTAAATCAGAAACATAACTTTATTATCTAAATATATTTTATAAAAAATATAAAAAATTAATATTATTAGATTGAACATAGGTAAAAATATTTTTTTTTTACCTGTCCCAATGATGCTGTTGGTTATGAAAACATTTTGTGAGTGAGTGACATGAAATCCATCAGTGTTGGGGCTATCTCCTGGTGCTCTAATGATAAGATTTGAAGCCTAAATATTGTTGCAATTCTGAACCCTTATATGCATTTGTTGTGCATTTTTGAACTTTAGGTTATTCAATTTCAAGTTGTTGCATTCAATGAATGTCACAGCCTATATATGTAAAATATTAATTAAATAAAATAATATGAAAACAAAGCATGTAATAAAGTTTACAAAAGTATGCTTATTTAAATTAATTTTTTTTGTTAAGTGTGGATACAACATATAATAAGATTTTATAATTTTGCGTTTTTTATTAAGTCCATGTGGATAAATACATGCTTATAATTAAATATTATTTTATAATTATGTGTTAAAATTTTTTTAATATATATATATATATATATATATATATATATATATATATATATATATATATATATATATATATATATATATGTTTAGAGAAAAATATTTGTTTTTTAGTGTATAAGTTTTGGAGGGAAGATTACCACCAAAAATTTGATAATGCTAAAAAAATTTATACAACATTTCATAAATGTAGCCTTTTATTAGAACTAATGTAACAATCTAAAAATGTCCCCAAAAATATTTTAGGGGACAATTGTCAAACATTGCTAAAGAAATAATATTTTAACGCTCTAAAATCGTTCCCAAAAGCAGTTAAGGGCACAATTAACAATCGTTGGCAAAAAAATAAAAGAGTATCACTCCATAAACGTCCCCAAAAGTATTTTAGGCAACGATTATCAAGGGTTGCAAACATATTTTTGACAACAATCGTAAACCGTTGCCTACATGAATTTAAGGCAACAATTTCTACATGTTATCTAAAAAAGTGTTGCCAGAGACAACAAATGTTGTAAGCGAAGGATCCTAATCTTCTTTGAATATAAGAGAACTTTTCTTGGTGGTTTTATTGGTTAGAGTCTTGTATAGAAAGACTAGGTTGTCTTGTCTAGAGATCTAACAATAATAAAATCTTTTTCATGTTAAAAGGGGACTGAATTACTCTCAGATTGTGAGGAGAACTAGGATACATTCTTGTGTTCTTTATTTTTCTGTATGTACCGCTTTCATCACAAATCATAAATCAAAAAAGAAAAAAACACATTTATAAACTCATGCACTAAACTAGAAAGAAACACATCTTTGTGGTGAATATTTTAATTTTTGAAAAATTCACATGAAGACTCACTTAAAAACATAAGGAAAAGAAATATGAGATGCTGTCCAAAATGGCCCTTTTATTCTTACAAATGTTGTCAATAGTGTAATCGGATTAGAATATTTCTAGTATTCTCATTTAAATATAAAGTTGTTTATAAAGAAAAAAAAACTACAATATCTTTCTTACCAAGTTTCTGCTTGCTTGGAAATCACCCACCTATACTAAAAATTCTTAATGAATATGTTTGTTAGAGATAAAAATGAGTTTTTTATTATGTTTTTCTTTTTTTTGGCTTTGTTTATTTTGTCCACAACAATTATCTCTTCTTGAGTGTACGATGGCATGAAAGAAATAGATAAAATGATACCAGAATTCTTGATCTTCATGCATGCATTGTATTATAACAAATGTCAAACATGATAGAGATAACAAAGTAGGGAAGACAAAACATACTTATGTAAATAAGCGTTGCAAAAAGAATATATAATAAAACATAAATAAATTAAACTTCCCATAATGCAACTATAAGTAAAGGTCATTACAGAATATTATCTAACAAAATACACGAGATCCAATAAAAGAAAATCAAAAACAGAACAGTAACATACATTTGGGTCTATATATAACCGTTTATTTTCTTTAAATTATATAAGTTGAGTAATTATAAAAAATTATTTCTTTCGTTTTAAAATAAGTATCATTTTAAAGAAAAAAATTATTTTAAAATGAATATTATTTTCATTTTTTAATATAACAATGATTATTATTTTTGTAATTATATTATTTAATTATTAGTCTATATACTATTTTTAATATATTAATAAAATTAAGGGTTAATACCTATTTTCACCCCTGACATATGGGGTGTATTTGAAAAAACCCCCTGCCAAAAAAAAAGTTCCAATTGTTACCTTGACAAATTTTAAAAGTTTCAATTTTTACCTTGAGGATGCCACATCCCTAAAAGGCTGATGTGGCTTATATTTTTGTTATATTTTTATTATTATTTTAATGACATGGCTTGATTAGTTGTCATTTTTAATTAATTTTTAATTTTTAATTCCACATGGCATTTATATTAATATTTTATTAATTGAGTGTTAATTCAAAGTTTAAAAAATTTTGTCCTTCAACAGGAATCAAATCATGGACATACTGTTTGCAATAAACACTTCTTACCACTAGACCAATGCATTTTCTTTGTTACATATATGCATCAATAAATATTCATATTATTAACATATTAATTACAATTATCAATAAATTTTCTTAACTAGTTGATTTAAATAATTTTTAAAAAAATGTTTTACATATTTTATCTTTTTACTCTAACTTTTTTTAAATTTTAAATTTTCAAAAATCACTTAAATTTAAAAAAATCACTTAAATTTTCAAAAAACACTTAAATTTAAAAAAATCACTTAAATTTAAAAAAATAAGTTAAATTTAAAAAAATCACTTAAATTTTCAAAAATCACTTAAATTTTCAAAAGTCACTTAAATTTTCAATCACTTAAATTTTCAAAAATCACTTAAATTTTCAAAAATCACTTAAATTTAAAAAAATCACTTAAATTTAAAAAATAAGTTAAATTTAAAAAAATCACTTAAATTTTCAAAAATCACTTAAATTTAAAAAAATCACTTAAATTTTCAAAAATCACTTAAATTTAAAAAAATCACTTAAATTTTCAAAAATCACTTAAATTTAAATCACTTAAATTTAAAATCACTTAAATTTTCAAAAATCACTTAAAATTTCAAAACTAAGTGATTTTCAAAAATCACTTAAGTGATTTTTGAAAATTTAAGTGATTTTAAATTTAAGTGATTTAAGTGATTTTAAATTCATCTTCTGATTCCAAAAACATTCAATGTGTTAATCTTGCATTAATGGCTTCACATCACTCCGGTGATGAAAAAGAAGAGGTTATTAATGAACTTTATCTTTATTATAATGATGTTTAAGGTGCTATAGATAAACTCTTAAATGAGTGCAAAATTCTGTACAAAACTATTTCATCTCAAGAGAAACATATTTCATCTTTAGAAGAAAAATTTGAGAAAATGGAAAAGTATTTCAAGGATGAAAAACAAAAGATTATTAATGAACAAAAACAAAATTTTATATGCAATAATCTTGATTCACTTTCTTTCCAAATTGTTCCATTAAAAAGAGTCTTTGAAAGGTATGAAAAGGGACAAGTT